ACCAGGGGGGCCGTTGCGCTGAGTACCGTGGGGAACTGAGGGGCTGGCAGCACCTGCTTCCGCGAGCTTTCTTTGCATTTCTGGCAAAAGAAAATGTCAGGGACATTGGTCTTCTTGATCTTGGCGCAGGAGAGGTGGATCCAGGTGCCGCACTGGTTGCATTCGATCATGGGCCGCCCAGCGAAGGGCTTCTGGCAGTAGCAGGTGATGAGGTCCCACGAGTCGTCGCCTGGAGAAGAAGCAAAAAAGGGGACATTGAAAAAGGCAGCCTCCCCCCCAGAAGAATTACAGAGGAACGATTGAGTCCGTCATCTGCACCTCTATCGCTGTCTGGTTTCGTTCTGCAACCCAACAGGACAGACACAGACTCCAGAGAGTAATTAGGACTGCAGGAAAAATAATGGCTACCAACCTGCCTTCCATCGAGGACCTGTATACTGCACGAGTCAAAAAGAGGGCTGTGAAAATATTTACAGACCCCTTACATCCCGGACATAAACTGTTTCAACTCTTACCCTCAAAACGACAGTGTAGGGCACTGCACACCAGAACTAGACACAAGCACAGTTTTTTCAAAAACGCCGTCACTCTGCTAAACAAATAATTCCCTCAACACTTGTCAATCTATTTACTAAGTCTGCATTACTATTACTATTAATCCTCCCATCCTTCCTTTCACCCATCTCCTCCCACTTGGGACTGTATTTGTTGTGGCTCGGAGGTTTGAGCCTGCTTTGTCAGAGGTCGAGGACTTGGTAAATGGGGAAGAGGAGGATTTGGCTCTGAGGTTTGAGCCTGCTTTGTTAGAGGATTTGGAATTGCCTTCCTCCCCAGGGCTTTCCTCCTCGGCAGGATCTTCCCCCGATTGTGCCTCAGGTGTCAGCAGATAATCAGGAGAATGTATCAGAACCTCTGACTGAGGATCAAGCCGAGGAATGCTGGCTTGATGCGAGGCAACACGGTGCAAGCAAAAGTGTAAGTTGCAACGTAAAAGGAAAGGACGAATTAGAGACTGAGCTGAGGGACTGACATGCCCCAGAAAATAAAAGTGGGTGTGTTTGCTCTGAGAGTTTGTTCTGGACGTGTTAATTTGTGAGAGCAGCTCCGATGGATTCTGTGTGTGTGGCGATAGCCTGTGATTTATGTTCTTGCTTTATTATCGGACTTGGCAGACAGCTTGTGTGGGACTGCCAAGAACTTGCCTGGCCAAAGGAATTTAACCCTGTCATTACTGGTCTTGTCTGCTTGTGTATATTCCTTTGGAAACTTGGACTTCTCACTTCGTTGGCACAGGTGAGACATAACATGTATTACTGTAACTTTGTCGCTTGTATCCTTACAATTTATATTGACAGTTTCCTGGTATGATTTGATTGCTTATTGTACTCTATGACTATTATTAAGTGTTGGACCTGATGATTCGGGACTCTTGAATGTATCTTTTCTTTTATGTATACTGAGAGTATTTGGACCAAAGACAAATTCCTTGTTTGGCCAATAAAGAGTTCTATTCTATTCTGTTCTGTTCTGTTCTATTTTTCTATTCTATTCTTTTTTCTATTCTAATTTCCATTCTATTCTTACTTCCATTCTCTTCTCGTTTCTGTTCTCTTCTATTATTTTCTATTCTTATTTCTATTCTATTTCATTCTTTATTCTATTCCATTCTTTCATTCCATTATTCTCTTCTCTTCTCTTCCCTTCCCATTTTTATTCTATTTTTATTTCTGTTCTTATTCTATTCTAATTCTAATTCTATGAAGCACAGAGACATTTCAGAAAATGTGTTATCTGCCTGGGCAACCTGCGCTCAGGGACTGGACTGCCATTTTTGTGAAAATGGTATTTCAAAGAATTGTTATTTGCTCAGAATTGGAAAAGTGATAAGATACTAAGAGAGGGAAAAGTAATCGAGAAAATATTTCAGTGTGCAGTGTCAAGCCCGAAATTGACCTATGCGTAGCCCTTTTATTTAGCCTTTTTATATATTCCTTTTCTTTCTTTCTCTTTGCTGGTTATGGGGTGGGGGGAAGGGTTTTGGGCTTGCCACATTCCTTAGGTGGGAGGAGTGGAGATAGAGTTGTTTAGGCTAGGTGGTTCTCCTTTCCGTGGGAATGAAAGCTGACCCTGCTGAGACTTGGAGGTGGAGATGGATGACATCAGGCAACGTTGATTTACTTCTATTGGGGAATGTGACTTTTGGGGGGCTGTTTCTAACTTCCAATATTATGTGGTATAATTGCGGGTTTGTGTCAGATCTGGAATTACAACAGACTTGCCAAGTTGATGCTTCCCTAAATAAAATAAATTTGCTTTGGAAGATGGGACTTTACTCTTTTCTTTTTGAAATGGATGTCATCGCTTGGAAACCTGACACAGAGATGAATAGGTTAACTTTGGTAACTAAAGAAAAAGAAGAAATGGAATATTATATATGGTATGGGACTTATTTTTATCAATGGTTGGGAAGTAAAACAAATTAAAATGGAGTAGATGAATATATAAATAAGATTGTTAAAAAAATATACTAAACAGTTATAAGAAAATGGGATTATTGTTATATTGATAAGTATTAATTCTAATGGTTAGCACAAGACATAGGTACCCAGTCGACACACGGTTTGAAATGAAAGATGGAATTATTGTAAATATAAAATAAAATAAAAATTCATTTAAGAAATGGCAAAGGGCAACCCTAGAAGACCTCAGATAACAGATAATCAGAGTCACGTGATCAAAATTGAGAGGCTTGGCAACTGGCATGTACTTATGGCTGTTGCAGTGTGATTCCCCTTTTGCGACCTTCTGACAAGTGAAGTCAGATTCACTTAAAAACAGTGTCGGTGATTTAACAACTGTGGTCATTCGTCGAACGACTGTGGCAAGAAAGGTTGTAAAATGGGGCAAAATTCCCCTAACGATTAGTCTTGCTTAGTAACAGAAATGGTGGTCGTAAGGAAGATGACGGCCTGCGGTCCTGAAAATTCAACAGCAGGACATGAAACGGTCTACTTAATGGCTTTTGGTCCTTAAGTTTTAAGTCTCTCCAAGTTTCAAAACAGATACGTGGAAGCTGTTTCAAGAAGAGGCTGGACTGCCATTTGTCAGAAATATGGTGTAGGGTCTCCTGCTTGGGTGGGGGCGGGGGGGTTTGGACTAGATGACCTACAAGGTCCCTTCCAACTCTGTTAATATATTAATGATGGATCTCATTGATGGAGGTTGTGGGAGCTTCATCCCTGGAGGCTTTCAAGAAGAGACTGGACTGTCCATCTGTCAGAAATGGTGTAGTAGGGTCTCCTGCTTGGGTGGGGGGGGGGGTTGGATTAGATGACCTATAAGGTCCCTTCCCAACTCTGTGAATCTAGCCTAAAGGGGGTTTGTTTGCACAATTTGCAAACCCAAAGTTGCATATCTAGGCTAAGATCCTTTTAATCAGGATCAGTCCTCATTCACGGAGAATCGAACCCAAGTTTCTGGACCAGCAACATGTATCTTTGCAAACTCTGTGACCATTAGGCAGTGCAGACCTGGGGGAAACGTTGATCCAGTCAAAAACATGGGAGGGTTATCGCACAGGTGTGGCCCCCATCACTTGGGACTTTCAAGAAGAGGCTGGACTGCCATTTGTCAGAAATGGTGCAATAGGGTCTCCTGCCTGGGTGGGGGGTTGGAGTAGATGACCTCCAAGGTCCCTTCGAACCCTGTTAACCTGTTATAATCTGTTAATGATGGATCTTGTTGATGGAGGATATGGGAGCTTCATCCCTGGAGGCTTTCAAGAAGAGACTGGACTGCCTTCTGTCAGAAATGGGGTAGGGTCTCCCGCTTGGGAGGAGGGGGGTTGGACTGGATGACCTATAAGGTCCCTTCCAACTCTGGCATTCTATATTCAATGGAACAGAAGTTGCCTTCAGAAGTTGTGGGAGCTTCATCCCTGGAGGCTTTCAAGAAGAGATTGGACTGCCATTTGTCAGAAATGGTGCAAGGTCTCCTGCTTGGGCAGGGGGTTTGGACTAGATGACCTACAAGCTCCCTTCCGACCCTGGTAATCTGTACATGCACTGAAGATGCCAAAGAGGAGGTGTCGGATTGAACACCTTATTCCTGTCTGAGGGTTCAACAAAGTACACATCTACACAATTTTGGAAGGATTATGTTGAGAGATAGGCGGGTGGTAAGGAACTGACATGGAATTGGGCCATAATTGATTCAAAACCTCCCACAAATCTGACAAGAATAGTCAGAAAAATCACTGTAAGCCACCCAGAGGGGCTTGATACTCTGAAAGAATATATAAATTTTTAACAATTAAGTAAATAAATGTTGTTCAGATCTTGGAAGGGGCAAGGTAGAGGTGAGGAAACATGGCCCCTTCGTGACTTGTGGACTTCCAACTCCCAGAATTCCTGAGCCAGCCAACATGGGAGTTGTAGATCCACAAGATCTACCTTTGAGGGATAAGGGAACCAAAATTTAAAGAAAAAAAAAAGACTCAAAAAATTCAAAATATCGCAGCATTAGGCATGTGGATCTGGAATAGGCTTCCAGGCAGGAAACAAGACTTGGCTACTCCCTAATGGGGGATTGTTCAACCTGGGGTCCCTTTTCTTGTCCGCAGGAGGCTGGGACACTAACCCAGTTTAAAGAAATCTTAGATTGAAACCATCTGGGATCTTCCATCTCTCATTCAGCCCATATGAATCTAGGCATACTGAAACTCACACAGCTGAAGATAGTTCACTTATGCACCCATAAACTATCCATTAGAATGTTATTCCTTTATATGAATGATTTAAGGTGGCAAATATACTTAAGCCTTCCTCCTCCTCCTCCTATTCTTTCCACCACAACAACCCTGGGTTGGTCAGAGAGAAAGAGATTGGCTTTCGTGACCAAAGCAGGACTAGAACTCCCAGCCTCCTGGTGATTGGCCCAAAGTCACCCAGGTGGTTTTCATGCCTAAAGTGGAATCAGAACTGTGTCTTGGTGACTGTGCCAAAGTTACCCAGCTGGCTTTCATGCCTAAGGCAGGACTAGAACTCACCAACTCCCAGGTTCTAACCTGGTCCCTAAAAAAACTAA